AGATTAGTCCGTGGGTCAGTGCAGGGATGGGCGGGAGTTCACACACCCGTCTTCACACCATCCCAGGACCGGTGCACTGCTCCTTACCTTTCTGGTGGTTGATCTATCTGAGAGGCCCCCCAGTCACCCTGTCTGATGCAGAAATGAGGTGCCTGGCTGCACCCATGTGGTCAAGTGCCCCATTTCCGTATCAGATGGGCAATTAGAGTAAAGAGCATGAGGGTATATGTGCACAGACTGGTTTTGCTGCAGAGTTTTCTACAAACTGCAGGGAAAACCAGGGCTAAATTACCCCAGGCTAAGGGGTCTTTACCATGGGGTCAGGCCAGATCTTCCAGATCCTCCTATGAATGGGGTTTTGGCTTGCGTGGTCTACACTAGATGACACGAGGTTGAGGGGAATCCAGGCCATTTAGCCTGTGTGGGCAATCCCTAAGTTAAGGTAGACAATCCACTATTTTTTCATAAATTCATAATTTAGATCTTGGCAGAGGAGTTGTGTAGTAGAACTATTTGACACACTAGATTAAAATGAGTTGCAGATCTGAGTCTTGAATTGTATCGGCAACATTTATATGATGCCTCCCCAGATTCCTCTTTAACTGCATACTTGCACAGATATATGGAAAATGTTCTAAACTTCTTTGTTCTCATTCCAAAAAAAGAGCAGCCTCTTAATTTAAACATGTAGGTGTGGAAAATAACTTCAATAACACTGACTAAGAAATGTTTTCATATTTGAATTGTGCATATAAAGTCAAAACTTTCAATTGATGTTTTGTCAGCCTCACTGAGATGATGAATAATACCATGCTAGTATCTCTCTGGTGACAGTAAACAATAGCTTGAGCAGGAGATGAAAACCCTACTCTAGAGAGGGCTGGGACAGGTATAATAAAGGAAAAAAATTATGAAGAGTGATTTGTCCTATACAGGAGCCATGATGTAGCTCGGTTTTTCTCTTGTATTTTGCTTATTATCTCTTCCCCACCACCCTGGGAACCCTTTGAATTGCAGGATGGGCCTAAGAGCTACTTATGCTAGAAATTTTAAGAGCATTCAGTCTGAAAATGTAAGAAGCAAATTGGGTTTAAGAGGTGAGCTGCTTAAAATGAATTTCACCAATTAACTCCAGCATATATATAAATGATACATGCATCCTCTGAAAAATTAATGTTCAAGCAACCTCTCACACAAAGTATTCCTGGTCTAAATTTTCAGCAAATGTCAAATGGTTTTCAGTATTCCAGTAACTTGAACCAAGACAGGCATGGCTTAGCAACTGAAGATAGTACACTGAGCCTGCTGCAACAGCAGGCTAGCTATCTGCAGATTGACTACCTGCTATTATTCAGTAGTGCTGCGTACTTGCGGACATGCACACATCACCACCCATTTAATAATATGACTCCTGAGCATCCACATTTTTCTTATCCATAGGGGGCCTCCTGGAACCAAATCTCCCTGAATAGGAAGGGCCCACTGTAACCTGTTTTTATCCCTCCCCCCCCCCATGGTTTACACCATATTTTAATGCTAGTGAAAATGTTTTTGCTGGCAAAGTCTAATTACAAAACTTTGTTTTTAATATTTATCTTGGATGAAACAGGGATGCATCCCTTCTGTTTCTCAACCTTGATAAAACTTTCCCATTTTACTGCAGAGCTCAGATACATATGACTGTCCAATTGTTGATGAGTAGAAGAAAAATGGAGTTCAGCATAACCAGAGAGCCATATGTTCCCCAACCCTGCTGTAATGTATACCTGCAGAGACATTTTAGCACTTTCTAACTTGAATATGGGGCTGAACAGATGGTCCCTAATGGGCGGCGTCCCACTGCCCCTTTCCTTGCTGGATCAGGGCTGCAGCAACCACACGCTGTGGCCCCAATCCAGTACTTTCCTGCTCTAAAAAGAGCTGGCAAATGCTGCTCCTTTTTAGAGTGGCAAAAAGCCACCCTTGCCACCACCATGGTGGCTTTTCGGCACTCCTTTGGCTCAGCATGTGTGAACGCTGCACCAAGAGAGCGCCCTAATGCCGCCCACAGTCTGGTTGGGTGGGCAGCGTGACGGCAACATCGGGGTGGAGTTGGGGCGGCCGGCGTGCAGTTGACATGCCCCCACCCTCAGGCCAGCCCTTTTGGCCGATATATACAGCCCCTAAGTGAAGCCCCACCATCACACATTATGGCTAGTTGTGTTAGTTGCTATGGCTCAAAGGCATTTCAGAGGTAGTTGAGATCATATTAACAATTTAAGCAGGTTTTCAAATGAAAAAAAAGCCCTTTCTGTTCAGTATCTTATTCCTGTCATGCTATTGTTGTCAATATCAGAAGGTGAGTTGTAGTTTCCTTTCTTTTTCTATAGTGTAAGAGGTTGAAAATTTATTTTAATTTCCTCCCCATATCAATCATCTAGAACAAAAATGGAAATACTATAAATCTCTTCACTTTGGACCTACAGGTTTTAGCTGCAAATGACTTGAGTTAATGTATTTTGTAACCGCTACCCCCAGGATAGCTGATAAATTTTGATTCAATAATCTGTTCTACATTACTACCCATCCTGGATTGGGAGATTTTTCTGGATTGAGTGATGATGATGATTTTTATACAATTAACAGCAACTGTTGTTTTAAAAAATAAACATTCAAACAAAACATAACATAAAAAGACATATAACAAAAACAACAAAACATAACAATGCATTGCATACTGAATCCAATCACTAATTGACCAATACAAATGCAACAAAGAACAACACATACATTGACTTCCTCCCTAACAGTTCTTAATCTTTATGCTTGGAATCTCACTATTATTTCTGCCCATTCAGTTCTATTAATATTGATTCTTTTTACTTATTGCTCATATATTCCCCAAACATTTATACATATAATATATTGCCTCTTACATTTCCCTCCACGACTTTTCCTTTCTTATACAAACCAGAGTTAACTCTTTAATCTTTGAAACCCATTACTGCCGTGTGCCCCACAAAGTTCATTCAAATAGCTGGTCAGTATATCCCAGTCTTTCTTTCATTAGGCAAGTCAATTTTGTTGAGTTCACCCATCTCATATATTCCCAAGAGCCAGTCTTCAATATTTGGGGTTACCTCGTTGTTCCACATCTTTGCATAGAATATCCTTGCA